TTCTTTAAGGGAGACTTCCTCATGGATGATGCAGGAAGAGGAGGCACAGCAGCCACAAGAGCCACAGTCCCCTCTGAGCATCTAAAACATAAGAGGTTTCATTTGGGCTGGATACCTGGACCATGGGAAAGTGGGCACCAAAATACTCTCTCAAATATACTGATGAAGATCTTGTCTTGGCATTTCCCAAGTCTGCGTTTATACAAGAAACGAATCAACATGCTGTATAAACAATGGTAAGCCTGATTCTAATATTGGAAACTCTACTGGGCAGCTCTGTTTGCTGTGCAGGGGATTCTCCTGTAGGAAATGGGAGTATCCTCCTTGCTTTGGCCTAAAAGCAGCCTTCTGGTGGACATCAGTATAGCCTCCTTTATTCAGACACCAAGTGGACAAGGGTTTCCCCATCGGTTCAGTCTAGTTATACACTGGGGCTCTTCTGAGCTTGGCTACTTTCCTACAGACTGGAAAATGGGGGACCTTGCACCTGGATTAGAAGGCCAATAGTGCAGCAGTGACAGTATTTTCTGATGCTTCTCATTGGCATCAGCATGTAGATGGACATTGTGAGGTCACAGTGGCTGTCATCAGATGACAAAGCCGAGATGAGATTTTGCAGTGTGTAGGAGGCAGACTTTTTGACTTCAAGGTCCCCTCCAGTTCTACCATCCTAAGATGACACCCAAGGCACTCACAAGGGGATACCAGGGAGGATCCTCCACAGTGTGCTCCAACCCCCCCCCCCCCCCCCCCCCGCTTCCTGAAGACACATCTAGAGTGAGTCCACCTGAAGCACTCCCCATTTACCACAGAGGACACTCCTGGGGGAGAGGCCTGTCCCTTCTGTTTGGTAATGGGCTGATTGCAGGACTGATACCTTCATTGTAGGGATCCACTGCAGCTGTGGGTGTCCACTGTGGCTGTGAGACATGGCTGTGCACAGAACTGTAATCTGTGCCAGGCTAATGAGGAGTGACCCAGCCTGTGTTCTGTGAACACAGTGGAGGGCAGGCCCATTAGTTATAGACCAGAGGATACTAGGTTGAGGCAGCAGTGGTTCATTTTAAAACATCATGCGTTACTTGGAACATCTCTGTATTACCCAGCACTCCCACAGATTGCTCATTAAAGCTTCCCTGTCACTCCTGAGCTGTGATGTTCCCTCCTCTCTCAGGACTCCCAAACACAGGGGCTATGTCTAGGACAGCGCAGGGTGTACAGCACAAATAAATGAGCTTCATGCAAAAAGAAACGAGTAGGTGTGGCTATGCCTGTTACCTTAACAGTGGTGATGGTTTTGGAGGCAAGGGGTATGCTCATGTCCAAGCTCATCAATGTGTATGCCCTAAATATATGCAGCTTATATCAACTAGACCTCAATAAATTTGTTTTAAAATGTAATAATTAAACGAGCATTTGTGTCCACCCCCTTTATTAAATAACAACCTGCCCTGGAACAGAAACTCTGGTATACATATCTTTTTCCAAGTGACTTTTTTGAATTCATAAAGCTGTTCACCATTATTAAGTGAATGCTTTGTGACTTATCTGTGAGATAGAATCCCTTCTCCCTGGATGTTCAATTGGGAGAGAACATGGCTCCCTCTCCACCTCCTCTAGATTGGAAATGCAGGGGGTTGCCACAGGGGTTAGGAAGGTGGTGAGAAGTGGCTCTATGCCCCAAGGTGTCTCTATGCTCCAAGTTCAGTTGGCACCAGCCCATTGCACCAGCCCTGGGGACAAGCTGTCACCCCACAGAGCCAGAGGAGAGACTCTGCCCCACCCCCATCACAAAAATGGAAGCTGAGCAGTCACTAGACTCCTCTGGTTGCCAAGAGCTTCCCAGATCTGGAGTTAGAGGCCTCACTGACCAGCCAGCATGCCTCCCACCAAAAGGAGACTGAGATGCAGCTCACGCAGTAACTATTTCCTCAGCCTTTGTTTAGATGTGGATGTGCACACAGTCCTGACTCCAAACCATCACCCGCCTGACCCCTTTCCAAAAACACCAAATAAGTCAAAGGCCGAGGCACTTAGCTCTGCATAGATATTTTAAATTAATCTGGAAGCAACTTAAAAGGACTGCTTTTCTCCCCAGCTCCAACCCAGCACATTTTCTGTGGCAGCTGGGTCAAGCTTGAGCAGCATTTTCACCACTGACTCAATGTCAAAATATTCCCGGGCTGCCCTTTTCCCATCATCCTTCCCACTCCCTCTGTTTTGGTTTTAATATTCTGTCTCCCTCCCACTCTTGCGCATGCGTGCACACACACACTTCTTTATAAGGTATGAGCACACCCCAGACCAAGGATTCTAAACTTGGAGTCCACAGACAGAATTCAGGAATTGTGTACTTAGATGGGGAAAAATTTATTTTCATTAACTTCTAGCTGAATTATATAGTATTCCCTTCCAGCATAAGCCCACAATAGTATTAGCCATACCACACCTGACACCAATAGAAACACACATGTTTCCACATCACATCAGGGTGGCTCCCCTGAAATAGACTTAGGCTTATTACTATGTCAAATTTTTATAGCTATTAGACTTCAAGTAGATCTATTATTTAGCCTGTTAATTAAGTAGTAGTACATGTCACTGTTATTTTTAAAATTTTTAATAACTACAGTTTAAATAATTGCTTTCCATATTTTCACTAATATTATTCTGAGAAGGAATCCATAAGCTTCAACAGAACAAAAAGGTTCATGGCTGATCAAGGTTCAGAGCCCCTGCTGAAGAGTGAGCATTAAAGGTGGGATTTGAACTCTTCTCTAGAATCATCAAGGCATGGATCAGGAGACTGAAGGGCTAAGAGTGGTATTCAGGTAACATGAGGCTGGTTCTGGGAGCAGAGGGACAGTAGGGTTACTAGATAAGAGCCTGGGTGGGCTTTGGAAACAGACTACTGGTGCTATCCAATCAGAAGTGTGTATTTGGGAAAACCATGCCATCTGAGTTTCTATTTCTTCATCTGTAAAATAGGAAAAATAATGTACTACACAATTCTTGTGAGCATGAATTGAGAAGATACATGTCTGAGAACAATGACTGCTCAGTCGAATGGAAGGGAAGCTCTCCCTACCCAAGGACTTCTGAGGCTAAAGGATGGTTCTAAAAGGGCAGCCCTCCCTACCCAAGGACTTCTGATGCTGCTTATTTTGTTTCTGAGATTGGTATCATCTCTGTCCCATTCAGGCTTCAAATGTCCTTGACATTCAGGGATACTCTGAAGGACCCCAAATCTAGCAGCACTTCTACATAAACCAAAGTCTTCTATTCCCCTCCTGTCCCTGGCTCACTGAAACAGACACCAATGCGAAACTGCAAAGCTTGCCTAACCCAAGGAGAACAGATCTCTAGTAAAAAGGAAGTATTTCAAACCTCCCCAGCATTGGCCATAGGTGTCAAGTACCTGCTTCTGGTTTCACAGCAACTGGCTCCTGACCTGTCTTCTTGTCACTCAGTAAGTGTGCATAGATTCCACGATCCAAGCTGCCCCACCCAAGCAGGACAGGCCACTGGGCAAGGATCCCCGAGGAAGGTCAGGGAAACTCCTTTACATGTCTCTTCCAAAAACTGTTCAAGTGAAGTTAAAAAGTTCTGTTGTAGAAAGGGATCTGTGTTCTTTTAAAAACTACATATATTGATTTTCTTGTGTTCATAAATTATAAGATTAGAAAGCACAAAATTTACAGAGAAATTAACTATAAACATGCTCTATGGATCTCAAGACTATTAACATTGTCATAGATTTCTTCCTGTTATACATAAGTTAGGACTGTAATTATATGGAAAGTTTTATATCTTGATTTTATCAGTTTAAAATACCTAGAGAGGGGTTAGGGATGTAGCTCAGTGGTAGAGTACCTGCCGGGGCACAAGGCCCTGGGTTCCATCCCTAGCACTGCTGAAATAAGTAAATAAAATACCTAGAGATTTTTCAATATAGATTCTTAAAAGACACAAAAGCATCAGATAATGTTTGTAAAATTCATAAGTTACTGAGAGATGCCATGGTATTCCTAAGAACAGGATGGTGCAATAACTATAAGTCACACCCAGAAAACTGATAGAAGAGAGCCTGTTTTACTCTTCTTAAAGGGTATACAATAGGAAACTCTTCTTTCTCCTCTTTAGCTTGAAGAGAAGGTATTTTTGTGTCCTCAGCAAAGACACACTAGATGCCATTTTCTTTTTCACTTTCTCGTATCTTATTTTTTCCTGATAAGGGGAAAGCTTTGAAAATTCACTGTTAGGAAAATGGTGTCTTACTTGAGAAAGTGCTCCAGAAAGAAGAGGTGTGGACAGAGAAGCTGGCGACTAGGGGCTGAGCGGGTACTGGATGCACATCGGGTCTGCCATTGCAGGCAGAAGATCAAAGAACGTTAGCTTCCCTATGTGTCAAGACGGCATCACCTGCCTCACAGGGAATGAAGGATTGTGGAGATTAAACAAGACTCCACATGTGAACGTGCTTTGTAAGTAGCAAAGTACATTGCAGGACAATAGTCACTAATTAATGTTACAGTGGCCACTGCTAGTATTGTTGTTTTTGCTGCTCAGCAAGCTTGAAACATCAATTGCAGGCATGCAGAGGGGCAGTGCCTAACAGTGGGTAAGAGCATGGACTCTGCAGCCAGACTGTACTTCAGAGTTTGGGGAATTAACCTCTCAGTTTCTTCACCTGTAAAATGGGATAATGTTAATCCACCTACCTCTAGGAGTTTTGAGAGGATTAAAAGGAATTAATTAACACACAGTGCTTAGAACAGCACCTGGCACATAATAAGTACTATAAAAGGGTAAGCCCTACGAATAATCAGTGATCAATGGCCAAATAGATTTACACCAGCTAAAACTAATAGGCACATTTTAAAAAAAGTTTAACAAAATTTCTCCCGTCATTAATCAGAGGTGGATCGGCAACCTCCATCAATTTGCCTAAGCAGCTATGCCCCAGTGCACTACAGCTTCGGCTTGGCCTCCCTTCCTACCTTCTCTGCATCCTGCTCGAAGAGTCGTAGCTGGAAGCACTGGTCCAGCTTGAGCTTGCGCACATGCCACATCTGGTGCAGGTGCTGCCGGGTGGAGTGCAGCTTATCCAGGAGGCTGGTGATCTTGGGCACGAGGCTCTGGAAGTCGGCACTGCCGGGGATACAGTTGCGCCCTGAGAAGCCGTCACTGCAGCGGATGCACTGCAGCAGCCGCTGCCCTTCCCGGTCCAGCTCCTCCACAGGGGCCTTCAGCACCTTTTTCTTGAGCTGCGTGTGCTCGTCAATGAGCCGCCGAGAGCCCTCCACGTCCACGGGGAACTCCTTCCGGGCAAGCATCTCCTGCAGGTCCTCAAGGCGCGAGAGCAGGTGGACCGCGCTGTTGAAGAACTCCTCCAGGGAGAGCCGCAGCTCAATCCACTCCTCGTGGTTGTAGTCCAAGGAGCCATCAAATTCCTCCGTGAGCTGGGAGGGGTCCACCAGCTTTGTGAGGCCCTCCACAGACACCATGCTCGTCTGGAAGAGGCAGACACAGAGTGGGAGTCTCAGTGATGTGGGAAGATGTGGAGAACAGGGAAGACCAGGGCAGAAATAGGCAGGAAGAGGGAAAGGCAAGGGGAAAGGACTAGGTAAGTCCACATAACAATGACCACAGCCTGCCTAGGAAGAGGCAAGTGGGAAACTGTGGGGCCCACCCTTAAGGAGCCACAGGATCCACCAGGGTCAGTGGTTTCACCTGACAGCAGACTGCCTCAATAAGCCTTTCTACCTGCCTACATTCACATCTAAAGAAAGCCTACCTTTGTGATCCTGGTCTCTTCCTTTTCCCTCCTCTCCACCCTGAGTCTACCATATCAGGGCTTCAGATACTAGAAGCAAAAGCTGGAAGGAAAATTGACCCCATGTGTGGGGGTTCAGTTTTCTATAGCTGTAAGACCCAGGCCTGTGCGGCCAGGGCATTATCATGGCTGGGTTAAGCAATGTGGGTCAGTACTTGGTACTTGGATTGCAAAGATTTCATAGTCCATTTTCCTGCATCAAGCTGGGGTCAGCTTTGAGGCTTTCCCTGTCAGACTGGCACAGTGAACAAAACGAGGGCTGGGCAACAGAGGACAGGTTCCAGGCACTGAGTTTTCTATGCGATTCCTATAAGCTTTTGGAGAACAGAGTGGCGAATGTTTGTTTCAAGGAAGCAGAGTGTCCCCAGCAAATCACAGTGCAGGTAGCCACCCAGTCATCAGTAAATATCTTTTCCTTCCCATAAGGCTTTGGACTTTGCTGCCCTCTGGCAAAGAGGCTATAAAAGAAATATCTGGGTTTGGAGTTCCCCATACTTACTAACTACATGATGAGGCAAGCTATTTAAGCCTCCAGAGCCTCAGTCTCCTCTCTAATGGAGAAAAAATCAGGTTGAGAAGCCTAATCCGAAACCCAAAATTGAAATGGATTTTGGAGCATTCTGGATTTCAGATTTTCAGATTAAGGAGGCTCAAATAGTAAAGTCTATGCAAATATTCCAAAATCTGAAAAACTCTGGAATCTGAAGCACTTCTGGTCCCAAGCATTTCAGATAAGGGGTACTCAACCTGTACTACTTTCCCCATAGAACTTGTTGGGATTAAGTGTGTCAGTGTAAATTCACAGGTGTGGAGTACCTGCTCCAGGCCAATTGGCATTCACCATGATGATCTGATAGCTTCATCATGGCTTGAACCTGTGAAAATAGTTTGTCTTGCTATTCTCTGAGCATTTTCTCTTCTTCCTTTTCCCTCTATCTACCTCCTAAGACACAGGAAGGAGCTACCATAGGAAGGAGGGCTGCTCTGGAATAGTGCTTCTCAAACCTGACTGCTCATTATAATTTCCTGAGAAGGAGTTTGAGGAAACAAACAACTTACCCCTAGAAATTCTTATTTAATTGGACTAGAGCTTGGGCAGGGTAGTTTTTTAAAGCTTCTTGATTCTAATGTGCAGTCAGAATTACAAACCCTGCTACTCTAGATTGTGGCTAGTCAAAGCATGGCCTTTGGACCAGCAGCACTGGTATCACTTGGGCTTTTCAGAAATGCAGAATCTCGGGGCCTGCTCCAGACCTACTTGGTCTTGAAGTAGCAAGATCCCTAGGGGATTTGTGTTCATTAAGCTTTGAGAAACCCTATTCTAGAGGACTTTTCCCTTTGAATTTACCACTCCCAGGAAATCCCCATGATTATACTCACCAGTTATTCATTAAGTATCTGCTGTTGAACAATGCTGTACTCTCATCCCTGTATGTCTTGTTGCCTCAGTCTGTGGTAGGAATTCATTTTTTGCTGTTTCTAAGATAGCATTTACCATTATTTTCCTGAGTGAGAAGTCCTGAGCTATCTTGTCCTGTATCTTTTCTTTAGGAGGCAGAGACAAGTTTGCTGAATTTAGGGTGAAGAAGTTATAGGTGATGGGAGGTGTAGGGCAGCTACACTGAGCAAAAATTTCAAAACTTCCTGAAAATAATATTTTGCGGGGTTGGGGGACATGTACTGGGGATTGAAATCAGGGGCACTCGAGCAGTGAGCCACATCCCCAGCCCTATTTTGTATTTTATTTAGAGTCTCACTGAGTTGCTTAGAGCCTCACTTTTGCTGAGGCTGGCTTTGAATTTGTGAACCACCTGCCTCAGCCTCTGGAGCCATGGGGATTACAGGCATGTGCCAGTGCACCCAGCTGAAAAGAATTATTTTCAGTCTCTTCAGTTTATAAATTCATAAGCTTATTGTTAGCACCTCTGTATAAACAATTTGGGGTTGTATAAACAACCCAAAATATTAAAAGCATTTCCTTACTGGACTCCTAGCATTCAGTAAGGTGCTGGGAGACTATGGTAGTAACTGTTTTTTAAACCCAGACAAACTTCTTTCTATTTACAGAGAGTGAGAACTTCCTCAGTCAAGTGTCAGGATATTGTGCTCAAACTGCAGCCAACTGGGGCCACCACTCCACATACAGGTGTTCCCACTTCTGGGAACAACAGTCTGGAATGGAAATGGCTGAAAGAGTAAAAGTAGTGATGCCTTTACAACCTGCATGTACACATATGTACACACTTCATCCCCTTACAGATGAGAACCAGCATTTTAAATGGGAACAGCTCAAATTTGGCTGGAACAAGGATGTTTAAATCTTTGATTTAATATGATGTGTTGTTATTAATAATTCTCAAGAGATTCTTAAAAATTTGATTATAGAAGTAATGTATAATCCTTAAAAACAATGAAGAAAATAAAAATCACCCATTATCCAGCTACCTAGAATAGACCACTGCTAAACATTTTCACACATCTCAGTATTCTCCATAGTTAGAAAACAAATTCCAAATTACACAGCCCATAGTGTTTTATAACCTGCCTTTTTAAAAACAATATAGCATGAACATTTTGTGATATTTTCTAATTAATATTTTAATGGTTTCATAATATTTGTGTATTAATATTGCCAAAATTAAGTTGGGCTACAACCTATATATGCATGCATATACTAATGTATTACATATATGGATATGTGTATATGTACATATTTATTCATGTAAAATACTATGATGAATGTCTTTGTAGACAATTTTAGGTTTTAATTTTAATAAGCTTTTTTACCTTTTTGTTTAGCCTTTTACTATTGTCATATATGTAAGAAATTTTTTAAAAAAGAATCTTTTCCTAGAGGAAGAATTACTAGATCAACGAACATAAATTTGTAAGAGCTTTTGACACAAATTGCAACTCTGCTTTTATTCCAGTGTCATGCCACCACCATGGGATTGTCCTATAATGCTGTACACTTGGCACCATCTCTTGAACCTCTTGTTCCTACCCAGCCAGGCTCCATCTGATAAGGCCAAGGAGGCCAAGGAATCCTGAATTCTCAGACCTTGACATCTTGGATATTGTAGGGTAATTGGAAAAGGAGAAGAGTGAAAAGAATGAGTGGCAGAGCGGAGGGAAGGGGAGGTAGAAAAGAAGTCAGGTTTACCTCAAAGATGAATTTGGAGCTGCCAAAGTTGGTCTTCTGTTTCTGCCAGAAGTTGTCGGGTTTGATGATGAGGGCCACATGGATCTCAGCTGGAAAGGCTTCCTGTAGCGTTTTGAGGAGGGGCTTGATGAGGTCCCACTTGGAGCCCCGCATGTCAATGATGACGGTGAAGCCACGTTTGCACACGTCCTCACTGTGGGAAGATCAGAGGTCAGGCATGGTCACTCTGGGCACCTGAGACTTTAGAGTCCTCAGGTAGACATGGCAAAGAAGTGCAAGCCTGTAATCTCAACAACTCAGGAGGCTGAGGCAGAAGGATGGTAAGTTCAAGACCAGCATCAGCAACTTAGACTCTAAGCAACTTAGTGAGACCTTGTCTCACAATAAAAAATTAAAAGGATTGGGGATGTAACACAGTGGTAAAGCACCCCTAGGTTCAATCCCCAGTACCAAAAATGAATGAATGAATGAATGAATAGCACATAGACAAAAAGCACCTGGGAACCTGCATTCCCCTTACCCTGTACCAGCATTCCAACCTCATACTGGGTCTCTGACCCAGCTCAAAATGTACTGCCTCCAAAAACCTTTCTAAACTAATCCCACTGACCAATGGTCCTGACATTCAGCCTTCTGCCTGCACTTAGCAAATAATAACTTTCCTTAGAGTCCATTTCCTTGTTGGGATGTCTATCATTTGGATATTCATATTCAATTTTATTTCCCTTTTAATTTGTCTCCTTCTCCTTCCTAGGATGAATCATATTTTCTCCATTTGCATTCAAATTCTCTAAAGACAGAGACACTGCTGACCCTTAAATCTGAGATGGAATATCCTCAGCAGGAATGCTCTTCTTCCCGGTGTGTCCACATCTGTAGAAGACACCACTACTCTTCACTGCTGAAGACAAACTGGGCCACAGAATCCTTTTCAATAAAGGGCTCTAGGATGGTTCCGCCAATTGATTAGGGACAGCACACAAACTACTGATAACATGTATTTGCCATCACTGTTATTTAAGATGTATTACCTGTGGTTCAAAATACATGTCAACTTTACAAAACCAGATTTCTGAGTCATTTCAACCCCTCAGAGAGCAAGGTTGGGGCTGAAGGAACGGGTGGATGCTGAGCTGCTTCTCTGTCTCTTGTTCCCCTACTGAAAGACTTGGGCATGAAAATGTGCAGTTTTAGGATTTGGGGTGGGGATGTGACTCTCAAAATTCAGGACAGCTGAAGTGACAGGGACCATCTTGAAAACCAAGATAGAAGCAGACTAAGTATGTCAAGATGTTGTTCTGTAACATATCCAGTAGCAAAGTTTATTTAAATACTTAAACCCTGACTAAAGCTCCTGAAAACAGAAAGCAGAAAATGAAGCTCAAAAGAGCTATCATATCTCACTTTGGGAAGAAAGTCTACGTTTTGGTAGTTAGGGAGTTTTCCTTCTCTTATTTTTGGTTTACTTAACATACCTATTTAATTTGTAAGTCCAAGTAGACTTTGGTGAATTCACATTTCACATAAGTACTAGTGTAGTATTTCCTTAGGGTCTTTCACCTAATTCCCTATTTCCTAGATAATGCTTGTTTAAACCGCTGTGTGTATTAGGAGTCCCTCAGATGTGCCCACCACATAACAGTGGTGGATAGCCACTAGGGATAACACTATAGTTGGAGGATTTAAGCCACAAAAGGGGACAAAAACTTCTTTTCAGCCTTCATTAGTAAATCTCAACCAGTAACAATAATAGAAGAGAGTTTATGTTTTGATTTTATAAAATAAATGGATAGGTTGCAGCTCGTTTAACTGTCGATGTCTCTCTCTCTCTCTCTCTCTCTCTCTCTCTCTCTCTCTCTCACTCACACACACACACACGCTCGAGCTCTCAGTTAGGAAGTTCCCCAGGTGCTGGGATTCTCTCCAGTGGAGAGGAAAGCTGAGACTGTTTCTCCCCAAATTCTGCATCCCAAAGGAAAGGAGTTGCCTCTTCTCCTTCTCTGACACTCAGTGAATCCACAAGTGGCCGAGGTCTTCCATTCATAATGTTCTCTGCCCTGTTGTCTGAAACAATGTGACTTTTGCTTAAATTACAGTATTTATCTCCCATTATAACAGGAATATCTGAAACTACATAAAGCTAAAATATTTAAAAAACCTACATAAGAGATGCTTGTGGTAGGAGTTTATAATACTCTGGCCTATGTCCTCTCAATCATTTTTGTGAATACAGTATTCAGACTACATAGTGGTTTACTTTGCACTGTAACATACAGCTTTTTTCTCATATCTAAAGCTTCTCTGAAACTGTTACACAGTCTTATCATTATTGACTTATAAGAAAATGTATCAACTTTCATCTACCAGCAATGTTTGAAAGTACCCCTTTAACTATATCCTAACCAGCACCGTCACTGAATTTTTAAAATCTTTGTCTATTTCTAAGAAAAAACATTGAATTTTATTTAAATTTGTCTTTGAATACCAGCTATAGTTTATTGGCCCACAATTATTTCTTTTGTGAATCGGTTCATTTATCCATTTTTTCTAGAGAGGTTTCGTGGCTCTTCTCAGTGAGTGAGTTTAGTTTCTCCTGACTCACTTCTGTTGCACACCCACTCACATCAGGTAAGTGGACTGCAAGGTGACTGTGGACTCTGCCCAGCTTTAGAGAAAGGGTCTTATTCATTGCCCTGTTCCTCAGGCTCCATCTGTTATCATATTGTTATGAGATGAGAAATCTATGTCCTCAAAAATGGATACTCAGTGTCACTTCCTATCCTAACATCTAAATGTGGTTGTCAGTAGCAGGTTACACACTATTAACTAACCATTTCTGACAACTGAAAGTAGAAACAAGGTACTAACATTCTCCAGAAAGTTCACACTAACTCAGGCAAGGGAGAAAGAGGCCTAGAGCCTGAATGCTGAGAACTAATCCAATTAGCTTCTTTCTGGGGAAACAGCCGAATCTCCCCAGGTGCTTTTGGTGTGTCTGGTTTCAGGAAAGAGAAATAGATGAGGGAGGGGAGACAACTTTACCACTTGCTTACTCTATGCCAGGGACTATGGGTGATACCATATATTATTTAATTTAATCCTCACAGTAACCTTATAAGTTAGGAATGATTATCTCCATTAGAGAAAAATGAAACTGAAGCACAACATTCACTTAAAGTCATATGACTAGGAAGTGGCCAAGCACAGCAGACTTAAACCCATGCTCAGGTCCCTTTATCACCCATACCCACCACACAAACACTGCATGTGGCTGTAGTGTTTGGACACAGGCACTGGGGGTCAGCAATGAGGAGATTAGTTGAGGGAGCTCACAAGAGATGAAAGAAGCTAGGGCAAAGGAAGTCCTGGGGAATGACTTCCATTCTGCAATCAGCGCAAAATCACAAAACCAAAGAAACAAAAGAAGATGAAGAAAGTTCAAGCATCTCACATTGGTTCAGGCACATGAATAAGAAGCAGAGAATGACACATGCTGCTCTTGGTGCTAGCCCTATTTGGGGCTCCGGCCTTTCTCTGCACACACCCTGCTGAGGCCATGGAGATCTATGCTACACATCTTCCCCATTTCCCCTTCTAAACCAGGCTTTTAGAACCTGAAATTCTAAAATTCTCAGCCCAAAGGGCCCTTAGCCTACTTCCTGGGTTCATGAACACCTCTTTCCAGGATCCAATCCCCAAGGGCAACTAGCACCACCAGTAGATGTACCCCTAGGCATAGGGGTGGCAATGGGCTATTTGCAAGTACATAACTAGAAAGACGTGTGAGCTGGAGTGTCCACATGCAGGCATGAGGCCCTGCCATGTAGGATAGACTGGGGAGTAGGCAGAGAAGGCAGATGGAGTGCAAGCTGGGGCTGATCCCCCTGTGCTGCTACGCTTTGGCATGGGACTCAGAGGAATCCAACAAGTCTAAATTGAAGATGGCCTCATAGGTTGCTACAAGGATAGATTTTTCAAGGTAGAAGGACAGAGCATGTTTTATTTAACAGTTTGTTAGCTTGATACATTAATTTTAAATATTCAGAGAAAAGGTATATGGGCTTCCTTTTGTTCTCTTGTTCCAAGCACCACAATGTTAAATCAGGTCTTGCAAGAGAAAAGGCTTAGAGGGGCAGCAGGCTTCAAATCAGGACCCACTTGTATGCCAAGGTGGGAGTGCTGGATTTTCCTAAAGGCAATGAGGAACCCCTAAATGTTGTGCCACCAGGTAAGAGACACAATCAGGTACCATGGAAAGAATGCCCTGCAGCTGAGCAGGAGAGTTGATTGGATCAACCCAAAAGAGTGGTGAGAATAGAAGCAGAGAAACTTTCTCCTTTGAGTTCTTGCTAAAATGACTGCTCAGTGAAGTCCTCCCTGATTAAAACTGTTACCATCATTTGGTACTCCCTGCCCCCTTCTCCCCTAATTTATCATCTCCTTAGCACTTATTACCATCTGGATAATATATTTTATTCATTTGTTGTTCATCTTTCCTTACCAGGAAGTAACCTCAATGAGGGCAGGGATTTTTGTGTTCATTTTACTGCTGGATTCCCAGTGCCATATGGTGCCTGATGCGCAGGAAGACTCAACCCACTGAGGAGGTAGAGGCAGAAGTTCAGGGTGTGGATACTAGAACCAAACTCCCTCCATCTGAACCCAGCTCCACCATTCACTTGTGGCAAATCCCTTATGCACATTACTTTTAATCTCTATGGGCCTCAATTCCCTCACTGTAAAATGTGAATAAGAGTTGTAACTGCCTTAAGGGGCTGCCTTTAAGGTTAAGTTTGTTAATATACAGAAAGCACCCAAATGGTGCCACACAGTCTTTGGTACATTAGTCTTAGCTGCTGCTGATATCCCTCCCAGGGTCCCTTTATTGACCATTTCATTCTCTAGCTCCTTGCATATTGTACCTGTCAGCTTATACCTGCCACTCTCTCTGAAACCTGCCTTTGGCTGATGGCACTATTTCTTCAGCAGAGAGCCAGGCAGTTACCACCCTACCCCAGGGCTGAGAGTGCCTCTCTTATACAGGTGTCATGAAGCCTGACCCCACTTCCTCATGGCAGAGAGACTCTGAAGTGTGATGTATGCTCAGAGTCTGCCCAGGTCCCCAGTGAAGCTACAGCAAGACTCTCTGAGGCCACATCCTTGCTTGGTCCATCTTCTTCCCCATTTTGCTTC